GGCTTCACCAAGTACGTGCGGCAGGTAAGGAAGATATACCTCCAGGGGGGTTCGATCGAAGATGGAGAGGGCGGAGATCGAGGGTTTGGGATATACGTGTTGAATGGCGCCCGGTCATGAGGCCTTGGCGCTGTCGTGAAGCAGTATCGAAACTTCATGCGAAGCCGATTCGCAATCAGCAAAACCAACTGATCACAAGAGGGGTTACCACACCTGGTGATTGGTAAGACGTGTATGGTTTACGGGCTTGGTTACCACACCTTGCGATTAAAGGGCCGAGGGAGTTCTCGCAGTTTGGGTTACCACGCCTTGCGATGGATGTGCGTGAAGGGTGGCACCGAATTTCAGAAATGTGGCAAATCCCCTGTGTTTTTGGACCCTGACCCCGCGGATCTGCGTGAGGGGTGGCACCGAATTTCAGAAATGTGGCAAATCCCCTGTGTTTTTGAACCCTGACCCCGCGGATCTGCGTGAGGGGTGGCACCGAATTTCAGAAATGTGGCAAATCCCTTGTGTTTTTGGACCCTGACCCCGCGGATCTGCGTGAGGGGTGGCACCGAATTTCAGAAATGTGGCAAATCCCCTGTGTTTTTGGACCCTGACCCCGCGGATCTGCGTGAGGGGTGGCACCGAATTTCAGAAATGTGGCAAATCCCATGTGTTTTTGGACCCTGACCCCGCGGATCTGCGTGAGGGGTGGCACCGAATTTCAGAAATGTGGCAAATCCCCTGTGTTTTTGGACCCTGACCCCGCGGATCTGCGTGAGGGGTGGCACCGAATTTCAGAAATGTGGCAAATCCCTGTGTTTTTGGACCCTGACCCCGCGGATCTGCGTGAGGGGTGGCACCGAATTTCAGAAATGTGGCAAATCCCTTGTGTTTTTGGACCCTGACCCCGCGGATCTGCGTGAGGGGTGGCACCGAATTTCAGAAATGTGGCAAATCCCATGTGTTTTTGGACCCTGACCCCGCGGATCTGCGTGAGGGGTGGCACCGAATTTCAGAAATGTGGCAAATCCCTGTGTTTTTGGACCCTGACCCCGCGGATCTGCGTGAGGGGTGTCGATTTCGAGCCCCCCCAGCAATTCAGACAACGCGCCCAGGGGACGCTAAAAATCTGGTTTGGGCCTCCCCCCCCCTCGCGCGGTCAATCAACTAGTTACAGTAACCAGCAAGAAGCAGAACTGTAACACTGGAAACTACAAGCTACAACTGGTACAGGAAACTGCGACTCCCGCTCCTCGCAGCCTGGTGGCCCTACAAGGGGGCCGGCGGATTGTTGATCCCCCTTTCACCGACAGATAATGTGTTTTTCAATTCGTATGCTCCTCCCGGGGCTCGCACCCGGCTTTTTATCGGGGAATTATTGCTCAAACTGCGTTATCGGGCCCCGAGCCGCAACAGCAATCATTTTACCCTCATGCGCGATGCTTCCACACGCAGCATGCGACCATCATGATAACCATCCCCATCATGGGGGATTATTGTTCTATCGCGGGGGTCCGTTATTCCCATTCCCAGATCTCCCGCCCAATGAGGTCTTGCAAACACCTCCTCCGAGGAATTTTAACATATCCCGCCTCGAAAACACATGCCCGCGCCGTGCTGCGCCGCTGCGAGACCGCCAGTGGAGCCCCAGCCAAGGGTAAAGCACAAGGAAGTATCGAGCGACAGGATTGGCTTGGTGGGGATGGGGGCTGTCGGCGGTGAGGCGAGGACCTGGCCCTAAATAGAAAAGGAAGAAGTCTCGAGCAGGGGTGCTGTTGTTGATGGGAGCGGCGCCAATGCAGAAGAGAGTAGGGCACTAGTCCAGCGTGAAACAACACGAAGTCTCGAGCGGGAGCGCTGGTTCTGTTGGGACGGCGGTTGTCGGCGGCGAGGAGGAACACCGCCTTGAGTAAGAAGGGGAGAAGTCTCGAGCAGGAGCCGCGGTTTTGTCGGGACGGGGGCTGTCGGCGGCGAGGAACAGCACCGTTGTCAGGAAAAAGGGAGGATGCCTCGAGCGAGAGCGTTGTTCTTGCTGGGGGCGGCGCCAATTCAAAAGAGAGTTGGGCGCCAGTCCAGCGTAAAACGGGAGGAAGTCTCAGGCGGGAGCGCTGGTTTTGTTCGGGCAGCGGCTTTCGGCGGCGAGCAAGAGCACCGGCTCTGAGCAAAAAAGAAGGAAGTCTCGAGCGGGAGCGTTGTTCTTGCTGGGGGCGGCACCGATGAGAGAAAGAAAAGCGCGCCAGTCCAAGGTAAAACGGAAAGAAGTTTCGAGCGGGAGCGTTGGTTTTTGGGCGGCGGTTTTCGGCGGCGAGCAAGAGCACCAGCCCTGGGTTAAAAAAAGGAAGTTTCGAGCGGGAGCGTTGTTGTTGTTGTTGTTGTTGTTGTTGTTGTTGTTGAACATTATTTATTCTAAAGAATAATTATTGTTGGGCCCCCTGGTGCGCGCCCCCCCTGCGCCGCCTAGACCGCAGCTACATTTTCATCATTTTCGTGAGGAAGCCTCAGAAAAGAGGGTGTGTACAGGATCCGGTTGTTTTGTTGTAATCCGCTTTCCCTTGCAAAAAACAATAGAAAATGACATTTCTTGTTCTAATATAATCAAATTTCAAGAATCCCTTGCAAAAAATAAGGTAAAGTGGACATTCGCGCGCGCAAGACGAAATCCTTCCAAAACCTTAGTGTTCGCAGCGATTTTAACATAAAAACATCAAAAAACCAATGGTTTTTCAACAAAAAATTGTCAAAATCTCATCCCGCGCGCTCTTGCGGATTCGTAGGAAACCCAACACTTTTTAAACATTTCTGTCAAACGGGCTTTTGCGAGCAACTTTTTCGAACTTCTGCGACAACGGTTGCGCACCTGCCAGGGCCATCATCCCTGTCAAATAATACCATGCGGGACACATTCGTTTTTTCTTCGCGCGCGCACGCCGTCGTCGTCGGCCGCGGGGCCCTGAATAGTAGCCACGGTCGTCCGCATGCCACGAAGTGAAGTGTCCGAACGTCATAGGGCGGGAAGCTGGGTGTGGGTGGTGGCGAAGAGTCGTTTGGAAATTTGGTAGAGCTTGAACCGGCCCCCCCACAAAGTGGGGGTATTGCCCGCCTCCTATGAAAACCCTGGCACTGGTGAGAACGGAGTGTCCCCACGTGCTAGTAATTGTTGTTGTTGTTGTTGTTGTTGTTGTTGTTGTTGTTGTTGTTGTTGTTGTTGTTGTTCCCACAAAACCAATGGTTTTTTCAACATTTATGTTGCATGAGCTCGCGCGAGCTACTTTTTCTTGTTCTAACATAATCAAATTTCAATAATCCCTTGCAAAAAATAAGGTAAAGTGGACATTCGCGCGCGCAAGACGAAATCCTTCCAGAACCTTAGGTTTCGTAACGATTTCAACATAAAAACATCAAAAACCCAATGGTTTTTCAAAAAAAAATGTCCAAATTTCATCCCGCGCGCGCTGTCCGACTCCCACAAAACCAATGGTTTTTCAACATTTATGTTACATGAGCTCGCGCGAGCTACTTTTTCTTGTTCTTACATAATCAAATTTCAATACTCCCTTGCAAAAAAAAATAAAGTGGACATTCGCGCGCGCAAGACCAACAAAAAACACGACGATCTCAGGAACTTGCCCCAAAAATGTGACCAACTCCGCTCTCTCTGTCTCTCTCTCTGTCTGCTCTCTGTCTCTCTCTCTGTCTGTCTGTGTCATGTATTGTATGTCACAATTGCAGGATGCTGGGCACACGCGCGCCCCGAATAAGTGACCAAGTTCTGTGGGTGTGTACCCCACGCCAGTGTAGTAGCCACGGTCGTCCGCACGCCACGAAGTGAAGTGTCCCAACGTCATAGGGCGGGAAGCTGGGTTTGGGTGGTCGCGAAGAGTCGTTTGGATATTTGGTAGAGCTTGAACTGCCCCCCCACGAAGTGGGGGTATTGTCTCGCGTCGCATGAAAACCCTGGCACTGGTGAGAACACTGAGCGTTCGGGTAAAATGATTGTTGTTGTTGTTGTTGTTGTTAAGGGGGCCCGTTTTGGCGCCCCCCAAACCGCTCGAGCGTGAGCCTCATTTTCAATGAACATGTAGCCTGCGCCGAGGCGAGAGCGCCAGGGCGCCTGGGAGGGTCCAACAATAAAGATTGCTTAGTAATTAACATTCAACGGCTCCCGCCTGATATTTCCTCATAACGTATGCCAGAATGGAGCTCTCGCCGAAGGCTTCCTTACAATTTGTGCAGGAATCGCGCTCTCTCCTGAGACTCCCTCGCCATTGATTCAGACGACGCGCCCTCGACACTCAGGAATCACGCTTTCGCTCTGTCCTTTCAGACGATTTACTTGGGAATCGCGCTACCGCTCGAGACTTCCCCGCGATGCATGCAGGACTCACGCTTCAGCAACCCGCCTTGTCAACCTGGCCGTCTGCGCCCGCCTTCCCGACCCGCCCGCTAGGGTCTGCCCACCCGATCTGCCCGTCTGGTTCTGCCACGTGTTTTCTGCTCCTAGCCCCCCTCCTGCTAATTTCTCTCGTGCTGCATCCTTCTCCCTCCCCCTTCCATCCGTCCTCTCTTCCCCTGTTCCAGGGGCTGCGCTACATGCGCTTGGCACGTAAGGGAGATATACCCCGAAGAGGGTACGAACGAAGACGAAGAGGGCGGATACCAAGGGTTTCGGATATACGTGTTGAGTGGCACGCGAGCAGATCGGAGCGAACAGTCTTAACATGATTGGTGTTGTTGCTGTTGTTGTTGTTGTTGTTGTGCTGTTTGTTTGTGTTGTTGCTGTTGGTGTTGATGCTGTTGTTGCTGTGTTTGTTGTTGTTGATGCTGTGCTGTTGCGGCTGCGGCTGCTGTTGTAGTTAGTGTTGTTGTTATTGATGTTGTTGTTGTTGGTGGTGGTGATGGTGGTGGTGGTGTATAGGTGTTGTTGCTGATGATATTGCTGCTAATGTTGTTGGTGTTGTTGTGTTGTGCTGTTGTGCTATTGCTGTTGTTATTGCTGCTGCTGATGTTGATGTTGTCGTTGGGTCGGTTCTGCCGTGCCAGAAGCGGGCTGGAACTTCGGCTCAGGGGATCGGCGCTGTGCAAAACTGCCAGCCGGTTGGCTCTGCCTGCACGGGCCGTGGCGCAACGGATCGCGGCAGAGCGAGGCCGAGCCGGGCGACCTCCGCTCCGTTGTGGTGCTTTCTGATGCCACCGCGCAAGGCGACGCCCGCGGTGCTGCTCTTGACGCCGGCGTAAAGGTCCTGACACTTGACGATGTCGAATGTCGCCTTCGGGTGCTTGGATCCGAAGTGCATCTGCATCGACTTGCGGTCGGGGGCTGCCTGCATGCACAGGGGGCGCGTGTACTTGGAGAGCCCCACCAGACCGCCCATCCTATCCTTTTACCTCTGCGAGCCGACCCTGTTGCAGCAGGCGTCCTTCTCCTTCTGTCTCAGCTCGGCTAACGTCTGTTTGGCGGGCTTCGCCTTACCTCCCATCGCAGCCCCCGGGCTCGTGGGCAGGCGCGGAAACCCCGGGGAAGCGGCCCCTGACGCGTTGCTCGGCGCCCGCGGCGCCGGCGGTGACCAGGCCGGGCTGCCCGGCATCGACGGGCGACCGCCGCTTGAGCCAAAACGGCTACGGCGCGGTCGCCGCGCCGCTTTGAGTGGGCATCCTAGCGCACCCAACGTCGCGCGTCGCGCCCAACAATGCGCGACGCACGATTATCTTCGCGCCACCGAGAGGCCGCCCTGGAGAGGAGCAGCTCTCCAGCCCAGGCCGCGACGCGCGAAGCGCGACTATCTTCGCGCCCCTGGAAACGACCTAGGCATGCGACCCGGGGCTCCTGCAGCTCTTTTGGGCCGTGTTGTGGGGCCCTCTCTTTGGACCTCTGGGAAGCTCCTCGCCACAGAGGAGGACGCGAAGGACAACGAGAAGGAGGAGGGGGAGGAGGAGGAGGAGGACGGGGAGGATGAGGAGGAGCAGGAGGCGGAGGAGGAGCGGGAGGAGGAGGAGGGGAAGAGGAGGAGGAGGAGGAGGAGGAGGAGGAGGAGGAGGAGGAGGAGGAGGGGGAGGAGGCGGAGGAGAGGAGGAGGAGGAGGAGGAGGAGGAGGGAGGAGAGAGAGGAGGAGAGGAGGAGGAGGAGTGGAGGTGGAGGAGGAGGAAACGGAGGAGACGGAGGAGGAGGAGGAGGAGGAGGAGGAGGAGGAGGAGGAGGAGGAGGAGGGAGGAGGAGGGGAGGAGGGAGGAGGAGGAGGACGAGGACGAGGAGGCGAGGACGAGGACGAGGAAGAGGAGGAGGAGGAGGAGGCGGAAGAGGAGGGGGAGGAGGAGGAGGAGGAGGGTGGAGGAGGAGGAGGTGGCGGAGGAGGAGGAGGAGGAGGAGGAGGAGGACGAAGAGGAGGAGGAGGAGGAGGAGGAGGAGGAGGAGAAGCGGGAGGAGAAGCGGGAGGAGGAGGAGGAGGAGGAGGAGGAGGAGGAGGAAAAGGAGGAGGAGGAGGAGGAAGAAGACAAGGAGGAGGAGGAGGAGGAGGAGGAGGAGGAGGAGGAGGAGGAGGAGGAGGGGAACGAGGGGAGCGGGAGAGGGGGAGGGGGAGGGGGGGGAGGAGGGGGGAGAGGAGGAGGGGAGGAGGAGGAGGACACAAGGAGGAGAGGAGGACGGACGAGGGACAAGGAGGAGGATTAGGCGGAGGAGGAGAGGAGGAGACGAGGAGGAAGAGGAGGAGGAGGAAGAGGAGGAGGAGGAAGAGGAGGACAAGGAGGAGGAGGAGGAGGGGGATTACGAAACTGACTCAGTAATTCGCTGGTCAGGTGAGTGGCGGCGCTCGCAGCAATATCTTATTAGCATCGGCGCCAAGGGAAAGTAACCCAGGTGGGCGGAAACTACAGCACAGTACTGCACGTGAGGAGGGGGAGGATGGAGGAGGAGCAGGATGAGGAGGAGGAGGAGGAGGAGGAGGAGGAGGAGGAGGAGGAGGAGGAGGGAGAAGGATGAGGAGGAGGAGGAGGAGGAGGAGGAGGGAGGAGGGCGAGGAGGAGGAGGAGGAGGAGGAGGAGGAGGAGGAGGAGGACGCGACTACCGTAGAAACGGGGTTCTGGTCCGCCTACGCAGGCGGGCGGCTGGGCGGCGGCGCCTTGCTAGGCGGCGGCGCCTTGCTCGTCGTGTAGACGACGTCAAGGGGGAGCGAGGGAGGAGCAGGCAGCAGCAGAAGCAGCGTTCGGGAGCAAGGGAACCAGGAGAGAGGAGAGGCCAGCAGGCGCTGGTGGAAGGGCAGGGCGGCTCGAGAAGCCCGACGGCCGCGCCGCCCGACCAGCCGGAGGATCGGATTCTCCGGCTGGTCGGCCCCTGCACGGCCCCTGGTGCACAGAACCACCATCTCTGTTCCCCCAACATCGCGGACAGGGGTGGGGAAGGCACCGGCAGCAGGAGGCCTCGGGAGCGAATGAGCACGACGGGGAGATGACTTGGGCATGACAGGCTCAGGCGAGACAGAGCGCGGAGGGGTGGCGATCAGGGTCTCGGGGGTCAAAGGGGAGGAGCATCTGGGGGTCAGCCTAGGGGACTCTGGCAGAGAGCGCGGAGGAGAGGCAGCCGCAGTCACAGGGGACTGCGGTGACTCACATCTTGGCGTCAACCTCGGGGACGAGCAAGACAAGGCCGTGCTGGACACGGGGCGGGTCGAAGGCGGAGGCGGCAGAGCAGAAGACGTGGCAGACGGACTTGAAACAGAGGACGAGGAACTGGACGGGGGCCTCATACGCACGGGAGCGAGTTGAGCCCGCTCGAGTGCCGAGAGGGCGAGTGGCTCCGCCTGCTTCACGGATCGCACCCCCGTAAGAGCAGCACCACGAATCTTCCCCAACGACAGAGGCCATGAAGCCGAACGTCTGACACCATTGTAGGTAGCCTGAGCAGCGGCCAGGAACGCAAAGGCTGAAATCGAAGGATTACACGGGCACACTTCTCCATCACATCTCGTGGCAATTGACGAGAAAGCGCAACTTCATCCCCTTGTGGAAGCTCGGGCACCGAAGATAATGAGCGAGTGAGTCACGCTGGTCTAGACAGCCGAAGGCACAACGACGAACGCCGGCAGGATGCAAGATACGCGAGGATGTCAACCACCCGTTGCACCAGGTCTTCAGCGCGGCCCACGCCCACGAGGACGAGGAGGAGGACGACGCCGAGGGGACAGCCTTGGGCGCATAGGCATGGCCACAGCCTTTTCTAGGCCATACTTCTGTTCTGTGATGGGGGCCACGCGGGCGCTCATCAGTGTTGTACTCCCCGACGGCACCAAGGTGTACTTCAACGATGCCAGTGACACGCAGCGGTTCACAGACCAGATGGTGAACATCTTTGGGGTGCGGCTACTCAACATGGTAAAGATGCCAGGCTCTGGCCAGAATCAGCGTGTCCTCCGCTCACCCAAGCACAATACCACGAGCTCAGCATTCGTGAGCAACTTGCAAGGCCCCACATGGCCTGTATGATTGCAGACCTTCCAGCCCAAGGAGGAGACAGGGCGACAAGAAACGTGTCTCAGCACGCCCTGTTTGGAGAAGGAGCTGAAGCGCTACGTCGGACTCGCGGTGAAGCCAAACGACTGCAGCGCCGTGGGCGGCAACAAGCAGGGGCGACATCACCCACAGCCGCCCCAGCAGCCAACCTACCTTCGGCGTCAAGGGAATGTAGAGCAGACGAGCCGCTAAAGGAGGGAGAGTTCATGGAGAGTACATCCGTGGAGAGCTCCCTGTCCTCCAAGCAGTGGGACGCTCCAGTTGTGGCGGCCTCGGCGTTTTCCCATCAGTCGTTTGAATCTTTGGAGGCCAAGATGAATGACCTCAAGGACACCCCCATGACTTGACGTGACGATGCATTGTCTGGGGTGCACCTGTCAGCAAACCACAAGGAGCCCTTCGAGCCAGGCAGCGGCCTGGCCAGCCACACCAGAGAGGACCAGGACGAGCCCCTCGAGCCAAGGGCGGGCCCAGCCTTCCACACGGAGGAGCCCTTCGAGCCAGGCAGCGGTCTGGACAGCCACGCGGAGGAGCCCCTCGGGCCAGGCAGCGGCCTGGCCAGCCACGAGAGGGAGCCCCCTCGGCCAGCCAAGAGGAGGAGCCTCTCGGGCCAGGCAGCGGCCTGGCCAACCACAAGGAGCAGCCCTTCGAATCGCGCAGCGGTCTGGCCAACCAACTGGACGCAGAACCGCCCCAGGGTGCAGGGACACCCGCGGGCAATGGGAAGCAGGCGCAGGGAATCCTGTGAGGCGCGGGGACGCCCTCCTTGCCCATCGTTGTCGACAGGGCAGCCATGGACTCAGACGGTGGCGTCGGAGTCGTGGACCCAGCGTTTGAATGTGCCGCTCTGTTCGCCCAGAAGGATGACGTTATCGTGCCCCGCTTTACCCCCAAACCCCTTGCGATGCCCAGGCCGCCTACTTATATCAAGTACCGCGTTTCCCGTGGTTCCAAGATGCAGCTGAATAGAAGATTGCACAAATATAGGCCGTTCCCGTGCTTTGATTGCAATCTCGAGCAGCAAGGGACTGGATGGGGAGAACATTGGAAGGGGCGAGGGTGGATCCATGATGCTTCAGTCTACGAGAGGTTTCGTAGCGCAGCGCATCGTGCACGCCCGTTCAGCTCCCGCGCTTTCGCCGCGAGCCTAGCGAAGTTAGAAGACTGTTTCGAGTACTAGATGCGTGGTGTTGTGTGGCGTGTGTGCAATTCCAAGGGCCCTCATGGCTTCTCTAGCTGTTGATCGCCCCTTGTCCTCTTCATCATGCCCTCGTTACCCACATCGTCGCTCCTCCACCTCCCGTGCTGTGGCGTTGACCAAGGCCTGTGGGGATGTTTTAGGGTGGGGGGGGGATACGGGTGGGAAGGAAGGGGTGGTCGGTGGGGGTGGGCGACAACGACGACGACGGCGACGGCGACGACGTGCCGAGAAGGCGTTCGCTGTCGCCCCTCGTCGCTCTGCTTCGATGGCTGGATGGAGGCGCAAGACCTCCAGCCGCACATGGCCAGGGGTCCGTTCGTGGACGCTGGCTCCCTGGTCGTGGACGAGTGCTGGCTCTTTTTTTCCATTGCCCTAAATACCCTTATGGCCAAAGAGTGTTGCCTCTGCTTTGCACCAGGCCTACATCGGTGATTGTTTGCTTGCTTGCTTGCGTGCTTGCTCAGCCACCTCCCACCCTCCCAAGGCGCTGGACTTGCCCGCCGAGGAAACTTTCGGACGATTGGAAAGGAGGCTGCTTCGAGGCTTCGACGGTGCCCACTATCTTTCCCTCTTGCCCTACATCCCCCAGCATTCCGTTTTCTTCCTAGGCACAGTCGCAACCTTTGCTTTCTTTCCTCGTGGGCCTCTCCCATCGTGTCTCCTAACTCCCGAGCAATGGCGTTGGCCAAGCCGATGGGAGTTCGCTGGGACGGCGGAAAGTGGGGGTTTTGGACAGGAGGCGGGATGGACATTAACAGCGACGATGGTGGGAGTGTGGACGTGCCGATCGGCACTCTGCAGAGACCCCGCCATCATTGGTGCGGACCCCTCTTTTGTGACGCACCCCCCAATCCCAAATCAGACCGAATGCTCGAATTGACAGGGTGGAAAAACCTGAGTCGGGGATCGTACACATTTGTATCTGCACTCCCGCCCCCCCGAGCCTCCAGAGACAGAGCCTTCGGGCTTGGATTGGGACTGAGATTTCGGCGGCGCCTATGCTCCTCCCTCCTTCTTGTTGTCCCTCCTCTTGGCCGTCCCTCTTCTCCATCGGCGCCGTCTTAACCCTTCTGAGCATCGCGCCCCTTATGGTTTCCCAGCCATTTTGTGGTGTTGGGTCCTCGTTTTGAAGAGAAAGCGCCCCGCGTCTCCTCCTCCTCCTCCTCCTCCTCCTCCTCTTTCCATCCGCCTCAAGCCTCATAGGGAGCTCCACCGAAGAATTTGATAGCACAGGCCGTTGGCCAGTCAGGACAGCGCTTCGTGGCCCCATAGGGAGCTTCACCGAAAGCTCCAGTGTCATAGGCCGCACGCGTCAACGCCACCCAGGACACTGTTTCGTGGCCTCTTAGGGAGCCCCACCGAATTCTCCAGTGGCACAGGCCGCATGCATCAACGCCACCCAGGGCAGCGCTTCGTGGCCCCATAGGTAGCTCCACCGAAGGCTCCAGTGGCTCAGGCCGCATGCGTCAACGCCGCCCAGGACAGCGTTTCATGGCCCCATAGAGAGCTCCACCGAAGGCTCCAATGGCACAGGCCGCATGCGTCAACACCACCCAGGACAGCGCTTCGTGGCACCATAGGAAGCCCCACCGACGGCTCCAATGGCACAGGCCGCACGCGTCAACGCCACCCAGGGCAGCGCTTCGTGGCCCCATATGGAGCTCCACCGAAGGCTCCAATGGCACAGGCCGCATGCGTCAACGCCACCCATGACAGCGCCCCGTGGCCCCATAGGGAGCTTCACCGAAGGGTCCAGTGGCACAGGCTGCATGCGTCAACGCCACTCTGGACAGCGCTTCGTGGCCCCACAAGGGGCTCGACCGAAAGCTCCAGCGGCACAGGCCCCCTCTGTCAACGCCACCCAGGATAGCGCTTCGTGGCCCCATAAGAGACTCCACCGCAGGCTCCACCGGCACAGGCCGCGTGCGCCAACGCCACCCAGGACAACGTTTCGTGCCCCCTATAGGAGGCTCCACCGAAGGCTCCAGTGGCACAGGCCGCATGCGCCAACACCACCCAGAACAGCGCTTCGTGGCCCCATATGGTTGCTCCACTGAACGCTCCAATGGCACAGGCCGCGTGCGCCAGCGCCACCCAGGACAATGTGTCGTGGCCCCTATAGGAGGCTCCACCGAAAGCTCCAGTGGCACAGGCCGCATGCGTCAACACCACCCAGGACAGCGCTTCGTGGCACCATAGGGGGCTCCACTGAACGCTCCAGTGGCACAGGCCGCATGCGCCAACGCCGCCCAGGACAGAGCTTCATGGCCCCACAAGGAGCTCGACCGAAAGCTCCAGCGGCACAGGCCGCATGCGCCAACACCAGCCAGGACAGCGCTTCGTGGCCCCATAGGGAGCTCCACCGAAGGCTCCATTTGCACAGACCCCCTGCGTCAACGCCACCCAGGGCAGCGTTGCATGGCCCCGTAGAGACCTCCACCGAAAGCTCCACTGGCACAGGCCGCATGCGCCAACGCCACACAGGACAGCGCTCCGTGGCCGCATACGGAGCCCCACCGAAGGCTCAGGCTCCAGTGGTCAGGCCGCACGCGTCAACGCCACCCAGGGCAGCGCTTCGTGGCCCCATAGGGGGCTAGTGGCACAGGCCGCATGCGTCAACGCCACCCAGGACCGCGCTTCGTGACCCCATAAAGGGGGCTCCACCGAAGGCTCCAGTGGCAAAGGCCGCATGCGCCAACGCCACCCAGGACAACTCTTCTAGGCCCCATAGGGAGCCCCACCGAAAGCCCCATAGGGAGCTCCACCGATGTCGGCGCACCCCTCGCACGCTTCATGGCCCCATAGGGAGCTCCGCCGAAAGCGATACCCACAGTGCGGCACTCACAGCTGCATATGATTGGGTCACTCGTCCGACTAATTGTCCCAACCATCCTGCGGTGTTGGGCCCTCGGTTTGAAGAGACGGTCCCCGCGTTCACTCCTCCTCCCGCTGCCCCCTCCCTCCTCCTCCCATCGTCATCATCATCATCATCATCATCATCATCATCATCATCATCATCATCATCATCATCATCATCATCATCAGCATCATCATCATCATCATCATCATCATCATCATCATCGTCAGCATCATCATCACCATCATCATCATCAGCATCATGGTCAGCATCATCATTATCAGCATCAACGCCATCATCACCATCATCATCATCATCATCATCATCACAATCATGATGATCATCATCATCATCAACATCATCATCATCAGCATCAGCATCAGCATCATCAGCATCATCACAATCATCAGCATCATAATCATCATCAGCATCATCATCAGCAGCAACATAATCAGGATCATCAGCGTCATCATCATCATCATCATCATCAGCATCATCATCATCATCATCATCATCAACATCATCATCAACATCATCACCCACTTCAGCACAGCACTCACACGTTTCGTGGCCCAATAGGGAGCCCCACCGAAGGCCCAGATGCCAGCGTTCGCATGCGGCCACCGCACCCATTTTGGCACACCCTCACACGATTCGTGGCCCCACAGGGCTCCACCGAAGGCCCAAATGCCAGCGTTCTTATGCGGTCGCCGCACCCATTTTGAAACAGCACTCACACGTTTCGTGGCTGCATAGGGAGCGCCACCGAAGGCCCAGATGCCAGCTTTCGTATGCGCCCATCGCACACATGTTGGCACACCTTCACACGTTTTGGTGGCCCCACATTGGGGGAGCCCCACCAGAGGCCCATATGCCAGCGTTCGCATGCCGCCACCGCAGCCATTTTGGCACACCCCTCACACGCTGCGTGGCCCCATAGGGAGTCTCACCTGAGGCCCAGATGCCAGCGTTCGCATGCGCCCACCACACCCATTTTGGCAGACCCCTCACACGTTTCGTGGCCCCACGGGGAGCCCCACCTAAGGCCCAGATGCCAGCGTTCGCACGCGCCCGCCGCACGCATTTTGGCACGCCCCTCACACGTTTCGTGATCCCATATTGAATTCTACCGAAGGCCCACATGCCAGCGTTCGCATGCGGCCACTGTGTCCATTTTGGCAGACCCCTCACACGTTTCGTGGCCCCACTGGGAGGGAGCCCCACAAAAGGCCCATATGCCAGCGTTCGCATGCGGCCACCGCACTCATGTCTGCACACCCCTCACACGGTTTGGTGGCCCCTCAGGGGGTGGAGAGCCCCACATGAAGCCCAAATGCCAGCGTTCGCATGCGGCCACCGCAGCCATTTTGGCACACCCCTCACACGCTGCGTGGCCCCATATGGAGCGCCACCGGAGCCCCAGATGCCAGCGTTCGCATGCGGCCACCGCACCCATCCTGGCACACCCCTCACACGTTTCGTGGCCCTCCACCGAAGGCCCAGATGCCAGCGTTCGCATGCGACCACCGCACGCATGTTGGCACACCCCTAACACGCTTCGTCGCCCCATAGGGAGCTCCACTGAAGGCCCAGATGCCAGCGCTCTCATGCGGCCACCGCACCCATTCTGGTACACCTTCACACGCTTCGTGGGGCCATCGGGAGTTCCACCGAATGCGGCGCATACAACGACGGTGCCCAAAGCTGCATATGGTTGGGTCCTTCGCCAGACGAATGTTGTTTTTTGTTCCTAGAATGGACTTGCAACTCGGCCGTGAAACCGAGGCAGAGGAGGAGGAGGAGGAGGAGAAGGAGGAGGAGGAGGAGAAGGAGAAGGAGGAGGAGGAGGGGGAGGGGGGGGAGGAGGAACTCCTGGAGCTCGAGCCACTCCTGCAGCCCGCGCCGGAGGTACCACGAGTGGCCGCTCGGGAGGTGCGTCACGCGGAAGTTGCACAGGGTCTCGCCGCAGGCGTCCTTGGCGGCGCGCACCAAGGGGTAGAGGGAGGGGGGAAGGTTTTTTTGTCGGAGGCTGCTTCTTCGAAGGCGCGGGCCTTATATCTACGGACGAGGCTCGCGCCTTCTAAACAGCAGGGGTGTTCCTAAGGAGCCCTCCCCCCTCCCCCATACCCCCCTCTGCACGCCGCCGACGTCCGCCGAGTGCCCGAGGAGCGCGGCGGCAAAGAGGCGCTCCCTGGCCTCCGCGGCCTCGCCCTCGGCGCCGGCCGCGGGCGAGCCCTTGGCCTGCTCTGGGCGCTCGCCTGGCGCCATCGCTGGGGAGGCGCCCCCCGCCTCTCCCGGCGGCGAGCCCCGGATGGAAGCGATAGGGGGGCAGGCCTTCTCCGAGGGCGGCGGGGCTTCCCGGAAGCTCTGACCGGTCGCCTCCGCCCCCGGAGGAGGCTCAAAAAGGCTTCTCGGGAGGCGCGAGGGCTTCTGCAGAGCTCCGCTGCCTTCTCACAGAAGGCCTGCCCCCCCCCCGCATGCACTTCCCCTCCGGGGCTCGCCGCCGACGCTCGGCCCTCGGCGCCCAAGGACGGCGAGGCGGCCAGCAGCTGAGGCCAGGGCACCCAGCCTTGGCGGCGCGAGCGGTGGAAGAAAATACACTCGGGGATGGACAGACCCCCCTTTAGTAAAACGTGGTCTAGTGAAGACGACCTGAGGCCCAAACCTGGCGGGCGCAGGCCTGGAAAATAACGGCCGCGGCGCCCTCTCGAGAACCGAAAACGGACAAATCACTAATCGACGCGTCACTGTTGGGGGCTCTATCCACCCCCGATACACCAGCAGGAGCACAAACTCTCGGAGGCCGGCGCAGATTGACCGGAGCGGCACCACAGGCGCCGCCAGGGGGGGCGGGCGCCACGCAAGTGATCCGAGCGGACCTCCGATGGTCTATGCCCCGAACAGAATGCCAAGTCCGCCGATCTGGCGTGTGAGTTTCAAAGACCCTCAGAACAGCCTGGGCCTTCATTCCTGAGCCCCGCGCGGATTTCTTGGATCGGCGCTGGACCCCCCCCTCCCTGGCGCGCGGAGCGCGCCAGGGGCGGCGCCAGAGGCACCGCCGGGGAGGGGGGCCCCAGTGCCGATCCAAGGAAGCCGCGCGGAGCTCCGAAAGTTTACGTTTCCGCTTAAGTCGGGCGTCTCCCTCTTTCAACTTTACTGGGGGGTGGGTGATGGGGTGGCTCTGCCGGGGTAGGGTGAGGGGGGGGATGGTCGATTTAATTCATGGGGCGGAATCGGAACTCAAGCTCACTCCGGGACGGCCCCCTCGCCCCGGGACGGCCTCAACATGGGCCAGGAGGGCCCCGAGTCGCCGAACAATCGCTACAAGACGCCCAGAATGTCCCCAAGACAGCTCCAGAAAACCCAAAGAAGCAAACAATGCCCCATTCCCAAAAGAAACCGCCTCGTGGGCCTTCAGAGCGTCGCAGACGCCCCAAAAGAGCGCCAAAACTACCCAAGAAGCCGCCAAGAGGGCTCCGAAACGGCCCAGGAAGGGCCTAAGAGGCGCCCGAGAAAGGCGCCAAGACGGCGGAAGAAGCGCCGAAGACGGCCCAAGAAACCCCCAGCAGGCCCCCAGAGGCCCCCAAGAGGCCTGAAGAGGCCCTGAGAGGCTTCCAACTGGCCCCGAAGAGACCCCCTGAACCCCCCCAAAACCCCCAATAGTTTCAAAAAATGCATCCAAAATGCCTTCTAAAGACCTCCAAGCTGCATCCGAGACTCCCCCCGGGAAGCCCAAAGCCGGCCCCAATGTTTCCACGACGCTTGCGTCGGAACGCAACCGCTGCAGTACAAAAGGTTTTTCCACGCTTTCACATTTTCTCCCGTCTTCGGCGCCCTTCACATCCATGATCTCACAGGGGCCCGCAGGTGACCGCGCGAAAGCCCCACTGACCCTCAAAACACCATGGTTCCCAGCAGAGACCGGTGATGCTCAAGGCTCCACAAAGAACTGCGACGCAGACAGCTCGAGCACAAAACTTTTCAGAGAGTGCGCCAAATCGGCGAGGTGTCAACCCAAAGAGGGCCATCACCTGACCCCAAGAGGCTTTCCAACAACCGCCGAACATCTTCAACACCCGCCGAAAATCTCCTCCTCCTCCTCGTCACGCTCCACCTGCTCCCCCTCCCAGTCTTGCACTTCCCGTTTCCTCCTGCTCCTCCTCATCTCCAGCATCCTGTTACTCCTGCCCCTCCCCCCCACCCCCCTCCACCTCATCATGATCCTCGTCGTCCTCGTCCTCGTCCTCGTCTTCGTCCTCGTCCTCGTCGTCGTCGTCCTCCTCCTCCTCCTCCTCGTCCTCCTCCTCCTCCGTTTCCTCGTCTTCTTCATCCTACCCCATTGCCTCCATTTTGAGCAGGGACCAACCGTCCCGGCATTCCTATAGGCCTACCACGACATGTTCTAAGAACCCAACATGTTCTAATAACAAGAACAATGTTCTTAACACGTAGAAGCCTTTTTCTTTATATATATATATATATATAAAAAACGCTCGTCCATACATATCTAAGAACACTTTGTGGAAACCGCGCGAAGTTATTATAACATTCTTTGGTATGTAGGCGCGTAGGCGAGCTGGGACGCTTCGCCACTGCTTGATCCATTCCCACTCTTCATCATCATCCTCACCGCTCGCCGTCGTCGCCGGTCACGACCGCCATCGCGCGCTTCTGGCAGCAACGGAAACGTCCCGGATCGGCGACACTGGCCGGAGGCCACTACATTAGATCGCTACAGAGAATACTATAGAAAATGGCAAATAGCATGGACAGTGTACCCGTGCTACGGAAGACCAGACGGCAAACCATTTGAGGGAGAAGATGGGAGCGCGCAGCGAAATTCCACAACCCAAGCCGAAGACCAATGGCAACCACACGGACAGCTGTCCTACAAGCGTGGCCAAAATTCGGGCCGCAAATTCGTGTAGAGGAGAGGCCGAGGAGGAAGAGACGAGACACAATACTGGGACATAAGCTGGCCAACCTGCAATAGGTGAGCCGGTCCGCGCCGACCAGAAAAGAGAAAAGAGGCGAACGACTAGATTTAAACAGCCCCTGTGGCCCAGATGGCCAGAAATCATACGTCCAGCACGTGAGACAGGATAAATGTGTTGCGTGCGCAATCCCAACGACCACCAGAATGCACACGACGGTAGCTGGGAAACGAGAGAGCACGGCCGCCCCAGACTCGGGCCCCAGAGAGAGGAGGAGGAGGAGGAGGAGGAGGAGGAGGAGGAGGAGGAGGAGGACGAGGAGGAGGAGGAGGAGGAGAAGGAGGAGGAGGAGGAGGAGGAGAAGGAGGAGGAGGAGGAGGGAGGAGGGGGTCCGTAGCCATTTTGGCTCAAGTCCGGAGGCAGGTGCCAGGCACATCACTTCGGTACCCTAGCTCTCACCTTGTGCGCACATTGTGAGACGACATGGATGGCAAAGCATCTCGGAATTGCTGGACGTGTGCCAACAAGCGCTGCGGGTACAAAGGCAATTTCCACTGGCGCACCACGTGTCGCATCTGTGGGATAGAGCCTCCCAGCGTGCCCAAAGGTTCCCCGCAACGTGGGCCGTCAGGCAAGTGGAAAGATGGACCTCCCCGCGCTGGCCCTTCTGCTCTCATTCTGTCCGACGAGCTCGTTGCTGTGTATGCTAAGATGCCTAGCGCCGACTATGCAGTTGTTGCTCAAGGTCTGTCACCCAAGAATGCGGCTCGAGTTGCGGCGGCTCGTAGCCTTCAGAATGCTGACGCCCTCCCCACGGCTCGTGCTGCTCGTCAGGCGTCTGATGCTATCTAGCAGAAGCTCGAACATGCGCAATCCAAGCATGATAAGGCTGCGGCTGCGGCGGCCAAAGCCATGGAGTATATGCAACAGTGTGCCACCGACCTGGCCGAGTGCAAGGCCAAGGCCGTCGAGGCGGCCAGCAAGGCGGCAGCCGCCTACGCCGCCATCGGAGGTGGCAAGCAGCAATCCTCTGACCCTCTCGCGCAGCTCGAGAGCCTCGCCCAGTCCCTCGCCGCCGTTGTGCCCAACGCAGCAGAGGCGCTCAGGCCCATCGCCGAGCAGGTCAGGGCGCAGCTCGAGGAGCAGCAGGCCAAAGCAGCAGCAGATGCAGCAGCGGAGGCCGAACACCAGCACCAGCAGCAGGCCCAGCAGCAGCCACAGGCTCAGGTGCCTCCTGGTGCTAGCGGCGTGCCTGGCGTTCCAGATGCAGCTTTCTGGGGGCAGTATGGCAAGCCCGAGTTCTTCGATGAATTCCTCAAGGCTCAGAATATCCCTGTCAGTAAGCCTCAGATATGGAACAGGATCCTGACGCTGCAGGCTCCGAGGGCAGGACCAAGATCAGCCTCTCACTCTACACCAGTCTCCTGGCAGCCATGCAGGAGCACGCCGCCAAGAAAACCAGGGTTTCCTCGCCCTCTTCCTAACACGTGGACTTTCATCACCTCCAATGTCTCAGGCCGTGTTCGGCTCGAGACAATACTAAACTCGCAGGCCGTAGTGGATGCGGATGCGCTCGGCGCACAGGAGCATCACGTTTCGCAATGTTCAGCTTGGGAGCAGCGGCGCCGACACATGGGCTGGAGGGCTTCGGCTACCGAGGCCAAGTCGACAGGGCAGGGAGGCACGTCAGGCGGTCTCTTTCACATGGTTCAACAGCGTCACGGTTTGTCGAGGCTGGTCGACCAGCCACCAGCTCCTGAGGAAGCAAGAGTAGCAGTACGTCATATGCCTGGTGTGGTACCTGGCGGCATACTGCGGGCAGTTGTATACGTGAAACGACTCGCAGGGTCTGTCCCCTTCGAACTGGAATATATTGTGCAGGCTTGGTGCAGTTGTCAGGCAGCTTGGCATGCCATACATTCTCGCAGGAGATTGGAACCTCAGGCCAGAAGAGCTGGCGGGTTCAGATTGGGTGGAAGCATTTCAGGTCGTATTATTTCGCCCAGCGTCGCCACGTGCACAGGCGGCTCAGGCAATGTGTTGGACTACTTCATTGAATCCGAAGGCCTTCAGTATCGCCAGCAGCTGTGCGTGCTCACCGGCATCGGCACCACTCCGCACGACCCCGTCAAGCTGTGTATCCAGGGGCTGCAGCAAGTCCCTACATTACCTCAGATTCGTGTACCACACACATGTTCCCTCGGCAACGGCCTCAGGGACCCAGGATGGAAAGTATGATCTGGCACTCCGTCGAGGACAAGGTTCGCGCCCAGGTTGCCACCCAGGAGTTGTGGGAGAGTTTCGTGCGCGCCATGGAGCGCGAGTTCGTGGACA